ATCCAACCCACCAGACGATTTTCATCTGGCCTGTGTGCGGGTGCCTACCAATTCAGTGTATCCAGCCTGGCCCCAGGTTGCCCCTGTTGTGCTTGCATGAGGCTGAGCCCCGCTCACTCCCCCAGGGGCAGCACATACTGCGTTCCCACTCTTGCCCATGGGACAGCCCTGACCCCAGCCGTGCAGGTAGGAAAGCACTGGTGGGTGGGAGGAGTGGCAGTGGTGGGTGGGCAGGGGAGGGAGATGGGGACAGTGGACGGACAGGAAGGTAGGCCCGCATGATGGAGCTGATGGCCTGGCCACGTGCAGTCCTGGGGCTCACTGGGACCATGCACCACTGGGGGGCTCCAACTGCTGCTGCTGTTGGCAGCAAGGGCTATGTGCACTGGGGGAGATGTGTTTGTAGGGGGGTCTCCCCCAACACACACCCCACCATACACAGACACACCCTCCCCCCACACACACCCCAGACACCCTCCCACTCTGCAAACCCCACAACCCCCCCACACACCCACAGTCCCCACAAACCCCATACCCACCCACACATCCCTACAAATGCACCCCCAGTAGTCCCCCATACTCCCCACACCCTCCTCCACAGCCCACATACACACATCCACACACGCACTCACACCCTCCCCTACACCCCACATACATACACACACGTACACCCACAATCCCCCACAAACCCCATACCCCTCACAGCTCTCCACCCACCCCCCACAATATACAAGAGTAAGACTTCATTTTGAGCTATAATGCAATCACCTCTGTGTACATCATGCAACACACACAAATCAGGACAACAATATTTTTTGAAATAAAATTAAAATTTATTGTAGATATTTGATTTTTAGTATATAATTTGGGGGGTTTTTTCTGGTTCCAAGATGGCAAACCCCCTTCCCAAGAGGAATACTTCCAGAGGCAAGGGGAGGGATGTCTGGTGGCAAAGGTCAGGTGTTAGGGGCAGGACTTCCAGTCCCAACATGGTGACCAGGGGGCAGGGCACCTGTCAAGGAGTGAGGCTACCCAGGTGGCCCTCAACAGTTCACCAAAGCTCATTAAGCAGCCCTCCAACCAAAATAATTGTCCACCCCTATTCTAACAGGAACCGTTAACAATAGCAAGATGTGGACCTGTTTGTTTAACAGAAACTCATTAGCTTGTTAGATAATAAACAGGCAAAAGACTCCTCCTTTGGAGGCATAGCTGAGGGCTGTGTGAAACAGTTGTGTTTTGATTCAGTTTCAGCAGTTTTGGAGGACAGTGATTCATTTCAGTGTTTCGAATCACTCTTCTATTTTGTTTTGGCCAAATCAGTTTCAGAGATTCGGCTCTGCCAAATCTCCTCTGAATCTCTTTCAAATGGGCAGGGAGCAGAGATCTGTGTCGGGGTCTCCTCACCACTGCTGCCCGCCCCGTGCAGCTTCACATTGCCGGGGCGGGCAGCAGTGGCGAGGAGACCCCAGCAAGGATCTCTGCTCCCCTGCGGAGCAAGGTCAGGTGGCTGGGATTCCCCAGCCCCCCGTTCGATTCCTCAGCTGTTTGATTGCCCTGCCTCTGGTTCAATTCCCAAGCTCCCACTTCGATTCCTCAGCCCACGGTCTGATTTCTCAACTCTCTGGTCATTACTCCAGCTCTTCCCAGGGGGCACAGGCCCCAGATCTGTGCACTGGGTTTCAGCAGGCTGCCGCTGCAGGCTGGGGCCAGTGGCAGCACTGCAGTCTTCCTGGTGCTCAGCCCGGGCTGTGCCAAGCGGCTGCGCACTGAAACCCTGCACGTGGATCTGGGGGTCCATAGTCCCCGGGAAGAGCTGGGGGAAGCAATTAGAGAGCTGGGTAATCAAACTGGGAGCTAGCTGTCAATATCAAAGCAGTCCTTCCCTCTTCTTTGTTTTTGTTTCACTGCAAGCCCGGCTCTGAAACTCCAAAATTCTCCGAAACATTTTGGAAATGTTTCAAAGTGTTTCATTTCAGAGCTGTTTTAGAGCCTTCTGTTTTAATTCAGATTTGGCATTTCAGTTGCCGAAATGGCCCGAAAACACCTCCAAAACAAAACAACTGCTGACATTTTGTGCAGCCCTACTGAGAAGTTCTATGCCCTGGACAACAGCAGTGCACAGGGGTAGCAGATGCTGGCAGACTTCTCATGGTGGCTGAGCCAACAGGGTAGGGGGCTGCTCTTTCTGTACCCCACCCCCCAGTCAGTGTCCAGGGCTGGTGCCCTGGTTATCCCCTCCCTCCCCACAGTTATGCTACTGATTTCCTTTACAGAGGACATACATAATGTCCTAAAGCAGGGGTCAACAACCCCCAGCATGCGTGCCGAGCATGTCACTCAAGGCCATTTTGCTCAGCACTGAACCGCCAGCCCGGGCTCCAAGCAGCTGCTGCCAGCCACGGAGCCCGGGCTGTTCCTAGCAGGCATCTGGGAGGCTGCAGGCCCTGCTGCAAGCAGACCGGGCTCCATGGGCTGGCTGCAGCCAGGAGTCTGCAAACAGTTGCTTCAGGCTCCGGCATATCAGTGCTCTGGCACTTTCCAAGGTAGACATTGTGGTTTTTTCGGCACATCGGCCAAAAACATTGCCTACCCCTGTCCTAAAGCATCATTTTTAGATGTCAAGTAAACCTTTTGTCGACTTACAAAGAATTAAAAGTATGTTGTCATGTACCCACCCAAAAGCAGGATTGATTCTGAGGTTCACAGCGTGTCATGCATATATATTTTTCTGAATTTTCATTGATTAATATAATATTTGGCCTCTTTTTGTAGCTAATGTTGAACTACATTCAGTTTTATCATTTTTACATTTGTATGAACTGTGTGTTCAGAGTCTTTCAGGTAGCACTTATCAACTTACCATGTTTGGGCAGGTTTGGATTATTTACCAGACCTTTTCATTTCTAGGAAAGTTAAAGCTCTTTGTAGGTTTGTGCTGGCAGTGTTACCCTGTCCTGTTCTTCTGGCTAGCATTTCGAAAACTGAAGCCCTTATAAATCTAGGTAGGATACTTGTACTCTCTTAATTTGTGTTGTTGCTTTGAAATACCAGCGGCAGCCAGAATTTGCATACAGTGGCTGTACAAGAAGTTATGTTTAAATAGACACATGAGCTACCTGGGGCCTTTTTTGCTCTTTGCTCCTTCATTTTACAGTGTATTGAGCACATTTGAATATGCGTTTACTCTGTGACCACTTGCATGCTCTGTAGGTAGCATCTTCTGTTAAGAGAGCCGAAGGGATGTGGTGAATCCTTTTCTTTGTGGTGGGAACCAGGCAAAGCCTGGTAATGACTTGGCAAGAACAGACATAAGAAACTCTACCCAACACACTCTAGTACTGTTGAATCCTAGATGCTGTGCTGTAATGGCCCAATTGTCTGCATCTTCATAAAGCTTTTGTTTGTGTCACGGAGTGCCAACTTACCTCTGGTACACAGCCCGGAGTGTGCGCGCTATTCTCATGGAGCCGCTCTTGTTCTCTTTCATCCAGACAAAGAACACTTGAAGGAGAAGGAGAAGCTGGAAATGGAATTGGTGACCCTGCGTTCTGCCAATGACGATCAGCGGAGGCACATTGAAATCCTGGATCAGGCACTGAACAATGCTCAAGCCAAGGTCATCAAACTGGAAGAGGAGGTGAGACAAGGCATCATTCCCTGGGTCTGCTGGAAATCATTGCTTTAATTACTATTCATTTTACAGCTGTAATTCAGTCCAAGTCCTGAACCTCTTCTTGAATAGGGGGTAGAACCCCTGCTTCCCTCATAACCCCTTCCAGACAGAAAACATGTAGTTATAAAACACTAAGCCAGATGAAAGGAGACCACATTCATAGATGCTTTCAGAGCAATATATAACCAGAAAATTGACCAGATTACACCAACTAAATGCTAAAGTAAGGGTAGGACATATAGTTCTATAAAGTGAAAAAAGCCTTACATTGATTTAGAACATGAATCTGATATTGGTTAAGCCCATTTCTTTCCAAAGAATCCCAAGTTATTTGAATGAAGAGTGACAGCCAGTTAATTAACCAATTCACTAAACACAATGTAACAGGACTAGACAACTTGCACCCAAACAACAGTATTAAAAGAATTGGCTGAGGGTTTTTTGAACCACTTATAGTCAGCAAATCGTAAGATATTGGTGCAGGGCCAGCAGAATTGAACAGATGTAATGTCCTACCAATATTTAAAAAGGATTAAAGGGGTAATCTGGAAAGCTATAGGCCAATAAGATTGATACCCATCCTGGGGAAAATCATGAAAAGATTGATTTGGGATGCAGCCAGGAAAAAAATAGAGCAGGGTACCATAGCACTATGGTGTGATGGGTAAAGAACTTCCTATGCCAGTGCTTACTGACTCATTGCCAGGCTTGACATTATTGTGAGAGGAAAATAGTCCACCAGTTCCCATTGAAATCATTGAATGGATGATGCCAACTATTGAGTGTGCAGAAGGCGTCATTATACTATGTGCAAATTCAAATGTAATCACTATACTCTAAAACAGGGGTGGGCAAAATACAGCCCGCAGGCCAGAACTGGCCCACAAGGCCATTCTATCTGGCCTGCAGGGCCCCTAAAAAAATATAGAAAATTAATATTTCTCTGCCCCATGGCCGGAACCCCATGCTGCAGGCACTCACAGCCCACGCAGGGCTGTCTGAAGCAGGCACAGGCAGGCTGCAAGCAGCTGCAGCACGGGGTGGTGGGCATGGGCAGTGAGGGGCTGCTTTCTCCCCCACCCCTGTGCTCAGCACCACCTTGTAACCCGGCCCCACTACCAGGCTGGCAGCGGGGCAGGTTACACGCTGATACTGAGCGCGGGGAAAAGCGGCCCCTCACCCGCCCCAAGGCCAGTGCCTTGTGCTGCAGTCACCTGCAGCCCGCAAGAGGCTGCCTGTGCCTGCCCTGGACAGCCCTGCATGGGCTGCGAGCGCCTGCAGCAGGGAGTGCCAGCCATGGAGCAAGCAAGGGGCCACTTTTCCCTGTGCTCAGCACCAGCTTCTTCCCTGCTGGCGAGCAGGGGGTCAGGGCTGTGTACTGCCCCCTGCCTGCACTGTGGGGCTGGGGGGCACTGGGAGTGAGTGGGCGGTGAGCCAGTGGGAGCACAGGGCCCGCACCGGTGTCCCAGGGCCAGTGTCGGTGGGGCCCAGAGCAGGGTGGCAGGAGCGCAGGGTCCCAGCTGGCAGGGGCTCTGTGGAGCCAGGCCAGCTCCCCCCTCCCTGCTGGTGCAGCCCAGCCCAGCTCCAAGGATCCCTGCCAGCCTGCATCCCGCTTTGGGCCCCACCAGTGCTGGCCCTGGGACAGTAGTGCCAAGACATTGGGATGTTGGTCCCAAGATGGTGACCAGGGGGCGGGGCACCTGCCAGGGGGCAGGGCTACCCATGTGGCTCTTGACAGCCTGCCAAAACTGGGTAAGCGTCCCTCTGCTCAAAATAATTGCCCGCCCCTGGTGTATAGGCACCCTGACTTCTGGCAGAGGTACCCCCAGGCAGTGTCTCCAATGAGGTGTGA